AGGGGGAGGGGGAGGGAGAGAGAAACATCAATAATGAGAGTCACTGATCGGCTGCTTCCTGCACGCCCCCCACTGGGGATCTAGCCCAAAACCTGGGCATGTGCCCTGGCTGGGGATCGAACTGCGACCTCCTGAATCATAGGTAGATGCTCAACTGCTGAGCCACGCAGGCTGGGAAATAATGATGTAAATTCTGTTCCACCAAAAGCCATAAAAAAATACATACATATATACTCATATCATATAAGACTTACTATCTCTTAATGTTTACTTCAGTCCTAACTAGATATAAAGGGATAAAAAGTAAGTCTATGTGGGTGTTTCAGAAGTCACACTGTTAGCTGACATTTAAGTGCTTACTATGTGGCATGCTCTGTACATTTACTATGTGTTAACTACTGTTACTTTTTTTTTTTTTTTAAATATATCTTTATTGATTTCAGAGAGAGGAAAGGAGAGGGAGAGAGAAAGAAACATCAGTGATGAGAGAGTCACTGATCGCTGCCTCCTGCAGTCCCCCGACTGGGGATTGAGCCCACAACCCCGGCATGTGCTCTGACCGGGAATCGAACCCCAATCACCTGGTTCCTAGGTCAGCTCTCAACCACTGAGACACACCCAGCCGGGCAACCACTGTTCTAAATAATTTCATCCTCACAAAAGCCTGACATAGGTATTGTTACCTTACCATCCTCATTTCACAGATGAGAAAACTAAACCCCACAGATGTTCAAAACTTACCCAAGGTCCTAGAGTTTGAACCAAGCCAGCAGGCTCCAAAGTCTTAAGCTCTTAACCACAACTCTGTGTTCCCCCAAGATGTCTCTCACTTCAGATTCAAGTATTCTACAGCTGCACAGAGAATGACTGCTGCCTGAAGTAACAACCTAGGAAGGTGATGTTCACTACCATGCTTTAGTTCACTTCACTGTAATGCCATCTCGTTTGAGCTACTGCAGTGCTCTAATAAACAGAATACTAAGAACATACAATTCTTCAAATTTTTAGATAAGTGAAAAAATTCTGAAGAGTTCGATCTAGTTTTTAATAAGCAAAATTAAATCAGAAACCAAACAATTTGGAGGGAAAATAAAGAAATGTTAACCAACTACCTATACCAGTGACTTACCTTGAAATACTTCCTTCTCATTCTAGTCATGTTCATCAACATAACTCCAGAGTTTACTCCAGTTTTTCCATAGTATGGATGTCTCGCAAAGCGATTATACCATCCTATTCGAGGCTCTTCATGTTCTGGTGCCATTGCAGCAATTTGTGTGGAATTAAATTTCTTGAGTAAAGACCAGATGTCATCAACAGGCCGTAAAAAAAGGATATCAGTGTCGACATATAATAGTGAGTCAACTTCTTTCAGGATTAACTATAAGGAGAGATATTTGAATCATGAACTATAATTCTATTCATTTAATATAAAATATAAAAGGATTTAATTATAAAAGAAATACCTAAGAGATAAGCTACTTTACATTTACTTAAAAATATATATATATTTTTATTGATTTCAGAGAAAGGAAGGGAGAGGGAGAGAGTGATAGAAACATCAATGATGAGAGAGTCATTGATCGGCTGCCTCCTGCATGCCTCCTGCTGGGGATCGAGCCCGTAAACCAGGCATGTGTCCTGACTGGGAATCAAACCGAGATCTCCTGGATCATGGGTCAGTGCTCAACTGCTAAGCCACGCCAGCTGGACTACATTAACTTTTTAAAGTAGAGTAATTTTTCCTCAATTTGTCATTTTTTACAATAGCATATATATAAATATTATGCTAACCTTTATATTAACTTTTAGAGAAGAAAAGCAATAAAACAAATCAGAACAAAAACTCTAACAATAATAATAAATGAAATAAAATATAAGCAATATGCTCAGAAATTAGGGAGAAAATATTAATTAAAAAACACTAACTTAGGTGAATTTCTATCTCGAATCTTAATTTCTTGAGATAAATACAGAAATAAACCAATACAAATGAAGATCTGAACTTGTTCCCTTGGCCTATAACACTAATGACTGGCACCTTTACATCATTTTGGTTTCAACTAGTAAATGGCAGAGCCAAAACTGGAACCCAGACCACCTAGCTCAAGTCCATGCTCTTACTTCTATGCTTACTGTCCCCCAACAAATCAAAGAGAATGTGCACATGCTTAGCAAGAGTAAAGACAATACTTATCTTGGAAGACAGACTGGCTATGCCATGACTTTTTGAGAGAGGTTAAATCTCTAACATGTCTTCTACAGGGATTTCCAAGGGTAATTTTCTTTTAATTTCTGCCTTACCCATGAACTTCAGAATCTGACTCCTGTAAATTTAAATGTATTGCTATCCCAGTGTATTAGTAAGACTCAATAATTAGGTTAAGCTAAACCTTTTTAGTTAAGAATATAATGGGAATAAGAGCTTGATCTTCATTCTACTCTTTTTCAAAGATGCTACCTCCTCCTATAGCTAAGGTTGAGCAATTACCTTAATGAGCAGCTAGGAGGCTGAAATCATCCAATTCCCCCCTGCCAGCTGGTTAAATATCAGGCTGAAAAATATCTGATGGTTGACTGCAGCGTCTGACTAAAGCCCCCAATTAAAAGAGTATGTGTATATGTCTGTATGTCTGCCTGTCTCTCTTTTGGGGGCAACTGTTTTTATATCAGCATTCTGCTTCTGTACCACGGTACAATGTGAGTTTACAGATTACTGGCTTGTTGCAGATTAGAAAGACACTGCATAAATCTCCAAGTCCATTTTTGGAGCCACTGCCAGCTGAAGATCAGACATAAGGTTAAATAATAACCACATCAGTACTTTTCTATGGTTCCTTTTGGGGGAAGAAGTTGGCAGAGCTTACATTAGTTCTTTCCATCCATCTATTTTAAAGGAAGAGAAACTCAGTAAAAAACTTTATCACTTAGAAAAATAAAGCATCAATTTACTAAAATCATTTAAAAGATGCAGAAGTAACAGTGAAGTATGGAGACAATCTGACAGGTTTCAAGTACTTTTAGTATTTCAAATTCCACTCAGGAATTTAGCCAGATTACATCATTATATGATTTGGCAAATTTTGTATCACAACATCAAAAATTAAACTTGTAAGTATTCATCAATAGATGAATGGATAAAGAAGTGGGGCATATATACAATGGAATATGATTCAGCCATAGAAAGAATAAAATCTTGCCATCTGCAACAACATGGATGGACCTAGAGGGTATTATGCTAAGTGAAATAAATCAGACAGAGAAAGACAAATGCAGATGATTTCACATATATGTGAAATCTAAAAAATAAAACATAAATAAGCAGAACAGAAACAGACTCATAGGTACAGGTAACATTTTGACGACTGCCACCTGGGAGAGGGGTTGAGAGGATGGGTAAAAAGGTGAAGGGATTCAGAAGTACAAATTGGTAGTTACAGAAAAGTCATGGGGATGTAAAGTACAGCATAGGGAATATAGTCAATACTATTATAGTAGCTATGCATGGTGTTAGATGGGTACGAGATTTATTGGGTGATCACTTTGTAAGTTATATGTCTAATTACGGGGTTGTACACTTGAAACTAATATAATATGTCAACTGCATTTTAAAAATGTCTAAGTTTTTTAAAAATTAAACTCGTTAATAATGCAGAACAGAATAAAAAAGGTAGTGCCCTCATGCTGCTTTCATTGCTTATTTTTTTAAGGAACATATTTGTGTGTGTTTAATGTCATATTGTGTTTGTTTAATGTCTATCTCTCACATTAGAAAATGAACTATGAAAACAAGAAACCTGTCTGTTCCATTCATTCCCATACACCCAGCACTTCATTACACATGCCTGGTAAAAAAAAAAAAAAAAAA